AGCCTATGTAAATGAAATGTTCCTATTGGCTATAACTAAAAGTGAAAGTTTAGTGGAAGTGTATTTGTCCCACATTGCTCACCAAGGAGAAAAATCTCCTGTATATATATGGCCTTCTCACAATAAGGGTCAACAGCATTGTGGAAGTAAAAAGGCATTATGCAAAAACACCTACGCGCGCCGCTGCCGCTGTCGCCGTTGCCGGTGCCGGGCTCGGACTTGTTGCTCGTTGCATTTTTTAGTCGGCTCGTTGCTCGTTGCATTTTTTGTGGTGCAAGGATTCAGACAAAAAGAATGTCTATATTTCTTTGACACCTATTCTCCAGTTACGAGAATAACTTCGATCAGAATATTGATTGGTGTAACAGCCTCGTTGCTCGTTGCTCATTGCTCATTGGCTCTATATAACTGGGTGTGGGTCGTGGGTTTCTTAGTTCCTGCGAAATATTTTTGCATATTGAAAAGATAAATCTTAGGAAATAAAAGATTGCGTCCAGATAATAACGGAAGATTTCCGAATCCTTTTACTTGCGGAAAAAGGAGAATATTTCGTGAATATTCCTTTTCGCCAAAGCTTATTCCTTTCGGATCAAGCTGAACCTTCCAGTATAAATGCCCTCGTCTCTCATTCAATATAATCGAATTCTCGAATACACCAAACACACAGCAAATAATTCTTTCCAACAAATCTCTCTCGTCTTAATATCGTAAGTGTCTCGAGAGCTATAGCGTAGTATAATCTCATTTCGCATATTCTATTACGGGTGTTGCGTAATAGTCTCATCACGGTTGTATCCTGGGATTCAAAAATCGCACCATACGGTCACACATTACCAGCGATTTATTGAGTTAAGGAAAGAGATCATATCTCGACTCCGTGTTTTCGTCTGTTTTCAATCGGATTTCTAACTCTCGTTTTAATTTCTTACCTTAACATATCGTTTATAATATTGCTATTTTTTATTCATGATTTCAATCGGATTTTCGCGGTCTTACAACTAGATCTAACATCGAAAACCATAATATACCAACAAATATCAAAACTACTATTTTTTATTTTTTATAGTCTAATTTTTTTTTTGGATGATATGGATAATTGGATACTATGAATGAAAGTCCTGGTAATTTAGGTAAGTGAATTTAACTGTCGAATAATTAAGTTTATTAAGTTTTTAATAAACTTAAAACATAATACCATTTCAAATTTCAACGAACCGAATGGAAGTAAAAAAATTCTTGAGTACGAATCAAACTAGAAAAAAAAGTTGAGTTGTCGTCTAAAACAAATATAATTATGACTTATACTTGTGGTCTATTTATAAAAAAAGACTGAAAAATAGTACGAAATAAGTTTAAGATTAGCAATAAATTTTACACACAAAAAACGATGCAAAAATAAATTGAAATGTGTGTTTGAGTGTCGAATAATTAAGAGACTAAAATTAGAATTGTAAATGTGAGCTTTATATTAATTAAGAGTATTAATGGGTTATGCTAAGTATATTTCTTAATTGTCGTTATTGAGTAGACGTTAGTGAACCAAATTTATCTAAGAACCGTTGTTTAGTTCTTCGACTAGTTAAAAAATTTATCTAAACTAAATAATATTATTATTTACGAACATACAATAAAATTTTATTATCATCATATCTCAGATTTCGAAAGATTAATTTGTGGATTTCGGTCCATAACCTTTTTAATATAAAAATAATAATATATTTTTTTGGTTTAAAAATAAAATAAAATAAAATAATAATATTATAGTATAGTTTTGATAATCTAACTTTTATATGTAGAAAACTAGATCAATATATAGTCTGATGATCTAACTCTTTTGCAACATTCCATTTCATTGATTTAGATTAAGATCGAATTCGTTCAAGAACTAACAAAAGAATGAAAAATCAGTCGAAGTAATATGTAAAAAAAAGAGAGAGATAGTTGATGATAGTGAGACCAAGTTGAGTGGAACTTTATAGAAGTATATATTTTGTGATTTGTCTGATATAGAAAGGGAATAGAAACTCCAACGTTCGTTTTCTTGAAGTTTGTTTTACTATGAGACTTTTGGAATTTTTGGCGGAATCAATTCTATAAGCATTTTTTATATATTTTCTTGGTTAGGTTTGCTTTTGGTTTCATACGGTGGCAAAATAAATTGTTTTATTTTTCTTCATTTTTTTCTAAACCAAAAATGTCTTATTCTTTCTCCAAAAAAAAAAATATACTAATGTATCTAGTTTTCTACATAAATTAAAAGATTATGGGTAAATTGGAATATAAAATAATCAATAAAGATGTAAAATTATTATAATTCTGGGCTCCATTCCAGTATTCTATTTAGACTTCGGTCCAGGTGTTTTGTTCATGTTATGTTTGCCCGCAATTCCTTACCTAAAAATATGTTCTTACTCAGAATTAGTCAGACGTCTTTGTTTTTAATCATATTTGTTTTAGCCGTAGTAAAAAGCAGCAATATTTGTTAGAAGAAATATAGTGATGAAGCTTCAGCCTTTAGGAATATACATATTGGTAGTGTTGGAGACTAAAAACGGCCTTTGATGCTAACGTCGAGTGTTCTTGTTCTTCATATTTTAGTTATTATTATAATAAATAGAAAAAAGTTTGGATGCTGGTTTAGTTAGTACATAAGAGTCGAGTTTCTTCCTTTTTATACTATTTTTGTTTGGTTTGGGCATCTACCTTTCGCTTGTCTTATTTAGTATCCCTTTCCCGAAAAGCAAAATGTGACACCGAATCTGGCTTCGTTGATATATTAGAACTATGATTGTTGGAAATTTTGAACGATGCAAACTAAACCACCAGCCATCACTACATTAGGTACGATATATATCTTACAAGTTTAAAAGTACATATATGATTGTTTTTGTAATCCAATTTTGGATTGTTTTCATTATTCCATTATGAATATATAAGGGAAGAAAAAAAATTAGTTTACATTTATGCGAACTAGACGGTAAAGTTCTAATAATCTCACTAACAAAAACAATCTTTGTTTGAACTTAGTGTTTAAAAAGTTTAGTAATTAAAGTTTGACTAACGTTGGATTTAATTTGGCTGAATCAACGTTAAATTTGAGATTTTGGTTCATGAGGTAGTTAGAAAGTCTCTCATCCAATCCATAAATTATTTTTTAATTATTTTTTCCTTATTTAATAGACTTATTTCTGTAAGAAGTTATTTTCTTACCACATTTTCTTTGGGGGAGAGGGGTTGGAGAATTTACATTATACATATCAAAATAAAATGTTTTAGTAAAGACCTAAAATTCTCCATGTAAGAATGATATTAAAGGTTCTACACTGTTTAGATCTATAAACCAGATCGAGTGATTAATTACAAGGAAAATTATAATAAGACCTAAAGTTGTTACATATAAAGTCAGAGCAATTTAGATTAGTTAATGAAAAACAGAGCATGGCGAAGATAAGCCGATGATCATTCAACCACTAGGGTAATTACACACTCGTTTTACTTTTTAACGATAATTTGAAATCCACAACATCAAAACATTAAATTTTTTTGAAAAGAATGCCAATTATAAGTTCAACAATATCAAAATCAGAACAAAACTGAATAGTTACATAGCGAGTAGCGACATCCATACATCATACAAGTATTGTTATATGTCGAAAAATTTGCTTTTTTCAGACCTCATCTTTATGTAAATATTAAATTTATGCCTAAACAATTTTTCTGGCCTAAACATACTTATACGTTCAAACAATTTGAAATTCAACCTTAATGTATGGTTTTTGTGCGGAAAACTACTTCCGTCTAATAGGTGTTAAGTCGCCGTCAAACGATTAATATATGGAATCTAGTTAAGCCACGACGTCGTTTTATGCAGTAGAAGTCGCAAAAAATTAACGACAAAACGACATCGTCTAGCTTCTGAGCCTTAGCAGATCACAAAAATAGGCCTAACATCTATAATAAAACTACGTCGTACTGGTTATACACAACTTGAACTTGAAGCCACGACTCGACGATTCAGTTGATTTATTCCATTGTCTTCTTCATCGAACAGAGTAAGAAAAAAACCGATCTCAAGTTTGTAAACCCTAAAAGCGAATTTGCTGTTCAAGTGGTGTTTGTGTTTGGTTATCATCCAGTTCGGCGTTGCAAACATGAGGTACACGATTATCTACTATTTTTTCATTCTAACTTTGTACAGATTAGGATAAAAAATTTGATTGGTTATGCTTTCCATTCATGGATTTGATAAGATTGGTTTATGGTGAACAAAGAAGCTAACTTATGTGTACTAAACGCTATATAACTTCATGGTCTAGGGTTATATAAAATGTATAACTCTGATATTTGTTTTTCTTTTGTTGTTGTTTTTAGTTCGGAAGATGCAGCGTTTCAAGTGTATTACAATGGAAAGTTCGAGATTTCACTGCAAAACAGTACGAAATACGTTGGAGGGGAGGTTGAATTGCTTGTATGCCCACCGAGAGACTTGTTTGTTAAGATTGGGGATAGCCTAAACATTTCTCTGTTCGAACAAAGGATCTGGTACAAGCTTCCATTTGAGGAGTTGTCGGATCTCAAGTTGCTTTGCAATGGAACTACGAATTTTAAAAGCATGTGTGACGCTGTGTTTTGGACCAAAGCTGCAGATGTTTACATAGAGCGTGATACCAACCATTAGCAAACCACAAACCAGGTTTTTCAAATCCCTAAATCGACACTCAGTGAAAAGGAAAGTCGAAAGCTTGAAGACCACGACGAGCAAAAAAAAAAACACCACGAAACTAAGTCTTTTTGTTAAAGTTTAAATCCCACGACTTAGAGAGTAAAACGATGTCGTAACTTACGTGTACACGTAGACAACGTTTCACGGCAACTTAACAGCGTCTCTCCAAAAGTAGTTTTACGCACAAAAGCCATACATTAGGGTTGAATTTCAAATTGTTTAAACGTATAAGTATGATTAGACTAGAAAAATTGTTTAGGCATAAATTAGGGTTGAATTTCAAATTGTTTAAACGTATAAGTACAATGCCATCGCCACCATTCCCATGATGGCCATGAACAACGGCGCCAGTATTGCCACAATCGGCACCGCTGCCACCATCAGGACAGCCGCCGCTAGAACCATTTTGGCAGCCGCCCGACAACTGGCAGCACCGCCATCACTCCCATCGCCACTACTCAAACAGCTTTCCTTCTAATGATAATGCCAAAGAGATGGGAACCATGTAAACGAAGAGCTATTGGGATTCAACTGAGAAAAGTATACAAACAAACAGAGACTAAAGATATTAAACCCCCACAAAAGATCAGAGCACAAAATAAGATGAAAATCAAATCAAGCATGCTCTGATATGAAAAAAAAAACAGAGAAGAAGTAAATGCACATATAACGGAGCTGGATGCTACACACTAGGCAAGTTCAGGGTCAGAGAATACTACTCTAAGAAAACACTATGAAACAAACGTTAACTTGAATTTATGACAACAAACACTGAAGAAGTTTAGATTTCACAGTAGCATTATGTCAAGATAGTGAAAGTAACTCCAACATATTCTCAAATATATAGTACAAATCAACTATCACACAAGAGTGCCACATAAAAACAGAGGTTTTCAGTCATGCTCTAGACCTTAAAAATGCATATAAACATAAACACAAACAATCACCTCAAGCTCCTCTCCCTCATTTCCGGCTGCGATAGGCATGGCATCGTCCTCCACATTCTCATTTACAGAGGTATCTGCAGCAAGATGAACAAGTAATGACTTCACTAGACAAAACTATTAAGCTAAATAGGAATATGCCGTTTATACCTTCTTTGTATATATTCCTTTCTATACGATATTCCTTTGTATTAGGATTTGGGTCAATGTTAATATAAAAGCAGCTTAAGCATGTTAATCTTCCTCTAATACTTAGCAAACAAGTTCTGAATTTACAAGACAGAGCACCCTAGATTGATGACGAGCATTTATGATTAATCAAATCCTTTGCTTACCTCTTTCGACATTAATTGAAAAATCCTCTTTCCAAATTATAAAATCATGAAGCATCGTCGCAGGATATGAGAAGAAAGAGTTATTTTCACCTGATTCGGAGCTGAAATGGCGAGGGAAAACAGACGGAGATGAGGAAATCGCCGATCGATTGGCAGTGAGATGACGAAGACCAACAGGGTTGCAGACGAAAAATCGGCGAGGCGAAGAAGCAGCTACTAGTGCTAGGGTTTTGGTATGTTGATATGGGAAGAATCTGCACTCTAATTAATCACCACGCGCATCGTTGTAAGATCTGGAAAAAAAAAAAACTAGATAAACGAAAAACACTACGAGAAACGCTTTCTTTACCCGATTCAAATCTGAGATTGCGAAGTAGATTAGACGAAGAAGCGAAAATCGCCAATCGATTGGCAGTCGCAGAGATCATTCGATGAGGCGGAGTAGAAGTGAAATAGGAAGCTGTTAGGGTTTTGAGATGAGAAGGGACGATTCTGCTCAACATGATGATGACGACGAAGATCTCAAAAAAATCAACGAAAGATCTTCTTCTTCGACTAAGTGGGACTCCGTTTGGGTTTTCTCTCTGAGACTGTGAGAGTATTTGTGAAATCGCGATTCACTGTGGCACGTATGCGATATTCGTCATGCGAATTATAATTTCGCGTAACTGAATTTAGATTTGTTTATATTCCATGCAACTTCATTATCAACCAACAAATATACAAGATTAATCTTTGACTAAAAGTCAAAATTCTGTTGCACGAGTAAGTGGCGAACCAATAAAAATCGAACTAATAATACATCAATAAAAAATGGGACAATTATATTTATAGGAAAAAAAACTGTAGTATTATCCTTTTAATACTTTTTCAAACGTAACCACTTTTAGACAAAAATATTGTTTATTTATAATTACAAAAATTTTAAAAATATATTTTTATAATCTAAAAAATTTTGGAAAATTCTGAAAGTGGAAGACAAAGACTTTTCATAATATTTTTTTGTCAAAAAAAAAATTAAAACAACTTTTTACAAATGTTCTATGAATTAGTAGAAACCGCATTCTATAAATCTATAAATTTATAGAATAGACTATCTACTATTTCATTAGTTTTCTACTAAATATATAGAATTAGTTATCTACAGTTCTTCTATGTTCTACAAAATTATGAAACTGTATTCTACAACTTTTTCATTGTTCTACAGTTTAGTAGAATTATCTTGCTATAGTTACATCTTTGATCTACATCTTAGTAGAATTACATTTCTACGGAAACTCTTTGTTCTATAATTATAGAATACTTATTTTACAATTCGGTTAACTGAATCTCCGAGAATCTATGATCAGATCTAGAGAATATATTTCTTTCCTTTTCGAGTTATTTAATTTTCTAGTTATTTTTTTTTTAAATTATTTCTTTCCTAATCAGATCTAGAGAATATATTTCTTTCCTTTTCGAATAAATTTTATATCATAAATTTTAATTAATATGGATAAATTCGAATTAGAAGGATAGAAGAGGTTAAATTATTAGTAGAAGTATTAAGGAGACAAAATTTACTATATAAGTAGTAATAGGACAATAGTTAGATTTATTTGTCCTATATTTTTAATTCTTTCATAAAAAATTCCAAAGTAGAATCTCTCAAGAATATTCACATAGTATAGATTATAGATCCCACAAAGGCAGTGGCTTTTTTCAAAGAAAAATATTATAATGTTCGTAATTTGGATTACTAAGTCTAGGTGATACTTGAAAGTGATTTTACATTTTTACTAACCTTTTGAATGCTATTACGATCTAAAATTGGTGGCTAAAACCTAAGCATTTTGATTCAATACGTTCGAGATATAGCTCTCAGGTTTTTTGAACTTTCAGATTTAGTAATGTCTGTAGTAAATCTTTCTTTTATGATATAATTTAAGATTGATGTCACACAAAAATATAAAGATAATTGAAGATTGATGTCAAACAACAATAATATTTTGTGTAATAAATCGTATTTTTTATATATAAGATGATGGATAAGAGCATATTTATTGGTAGAAACCCAGGTTATTTGATTAAATTAATAGTAAACATAAAATAAGAAACTCATAAAGAAACTGTTAAAATATACTTGTGCATTGCTAGAAACCCAAATGGATTTTAAAAAAAAAACTTAATTTTTTCTAAATGATTTATCAAACTGAATTATTACAAAACATAATTGAAATTTGGGGGTTAGTTATTTATATAACAAAAAACTATATATATATATATATATATTATTTGGGGGTAGTTATATTTATAACAAAAAAATGTAGTATTATCTCCTTAATACTTTTTCACCACTTTTGGACAAATATACAATTTATTTATAATTACAAAAATTAAAAAAAAAATATTTTTATAATCTAAAATTTTTTGAAAAATTCTGAAAAGGGAAGATAAAGATATTTCGTAATATCTTTTTACCAAAAAATTTAAAACAACTTTTTACAAATATTCTACGAATTAGTGAAAAGTGCATTCTATATATCTATAAATTTATAGAGTAGGCTATCTACTATTTCATTAGTTTTCTACTAAATATATAGAATTAATTATCTACAATTTTTTTATGTTCTACAAAGTTATAAAACTGTATTCTACAACCTTTTCATTGTTCTACAGTTTAGTAGATATATCTTTTTATAATTACCTCTTTGTTCTACATCTTAGTAGAATTGCATTTCTACAGAAACTTTTTGTTCTACAATTATAGAATACTTATTCTACAATTCGGTTAACTGAATTTTCAAGAATCTAAGATTAGATCTAGATAATATATTTCTTTCTTTTTTGAATTATCTAATTTTAATTATTTTTAAAAAAAAAATTTGAGAAACTAAATTCTATCGACATTTTTTACTTTTTCTCCACAAATTATCATTTTCTTCTCTACGCAAACTCGCCTAAGAAGCTACTGCAGCAGAGAAAAAAAAAGCAATCAGTGTTGTTTAAGTCTGGGGGAGGTAGTTGCTGACATTGTGTTTGTTTTTCTTAAGAGTCTGTCGTGTCAAAACGTTTTTGAGTCAAAACTTGTTGGAGATTATGATGCTTTTCCTGGAATTATTGTGCTGACCTTTCATCTAAGTGACCACTGCTACAGATTCAGTCTAGATCTGACTAATGAAAAATCCAAAGGCCAGTTGACTAGAGGCGTCCATGTTTCCAACAGAATCCACTAACCTGAGCTAATTTCTGAACTCTTTCTTTTACCTCATTGATGTGACTGATGTTCATAGAGCTTGATTCCTCGTTCATACTTGACAAATGAAAGCCTGTGTGAAATCTAATGTTGGTGTTTCTCTCCCTTGTGATGAGTGAAAAAAAAAGAAGAAAGAAAGAAAAAGGGCAAAAAGATTGAGATGATTTTCGCTTAGGAGTGAAGGGCTAGGAAAATGTCCAAGGATCCCATTATTTCACTTCTAAGTTGGAATGATCACACAAAGGAAGGAAACGAGGGGTAGGAAAGTTTCCTATGACCCCATTATTCGCTGAAACCCTTTGATACAAGGTAAGGGGACAACTCGGGACTCGATGGCAAACACCATCAGTACTCGCAGCTTTACCTTTATCGAGTATATGCCATAAAAAAAGGATGATGAGTGTGCGAAAAGAATAAGTCTGGGGGAGAGAAAAGTACCAAAGTGTGTAAGGCTGATTTGTTTGAGTATAGTATGGGAAAGAATCTAGAAGGCTCTTGGTATCTGAATCATCAGTGAGATCCAGCGATGAGGGTTTATGGACAATGTTGTGGAATTTTGGAGTTAATCTGGGAAGCTGTGAATGTCTACGGAGAAGTACATGGTGGTTCGATTTGGAATGATGAAGCAGTAGTTGAGTTGCAGGGTGATCGGTCAAAATGCTAAGTCTGGGGGAGTTGATATATCATGGTTTTTATGGTTTTTAAACCATGCTATAGGTCTTATTTATAGAGTCTTTTTAGTGTTTTTCGAGTCTTTTGGAGTCTTTACAGGTCATAGGTACGTTTGGAGCTTAATTGGTGATTTTGGAGCACTTTGGAGCTAAACAAGGATCAAATTCGTGAAGGATGAATCATGTGCTTTAGTGTCGCTCGACACCATGGAGAGTGACGCTCGACACCATGGAGAGTGACGCTCGACACTTGTTGCAGAAATAAGGAAAACGTGATTTTGTTTCCTGTTTGAAGAAGGAGTTGGGCCCAAAAATCTCCAATAATTACAAGGAAGCCCAAAACGTGTTTTTAAGTTATAAATAGGGTTTTTAGCCACCTTATATCGATACCTTAGATTTTCTTAGAGATGACTTTTGTTTTTGAGAGTTTTTAGGGAGACAAGTCTGAAACTCTGTTCCAGAGAGAGAAGATTTCGAACCCCTGTTTATTAATCTATTTACTGCTTACTGCAATCTATTCAATCATGTTTATTGCTTCAATCTTCATGTCTGAGTAGTTTGCTTGTTGGGTTTAGGGTTCTCATAAAGGATTTCTTTGGATGTTGGATTGATTGATTAGTTAGGGTTCATAATCTATTTAGTTCTTCACCATAGGTTTTTCTTAAAGCTAATTCTGGACTGGCCACCTAGAACTTAGATCTTAGGTTGCTTAATTGACACGGAAGTGTAATTGAATAACTGGAAAGAACCTAGGGTGAGCAAAGTAGCTATTCGCAAAGGAATTTGGTTTAGATACTTTGTGAACATATCGAACTTGAGCATTAAAGCTGGTTTATGTCTTTAGGATTTGCAAAGGAATTTGGAATTCTAGGATTTTAACTTAGATAATTCTCACAACGGAAGTTGGTTAATTATAATTTCGTGATTTGAGTTCAAGAACCGTGCTTAACCCTGAACCCTGATTTATCGATTAATCTGCATTCTCTGCTTTCCTGAGAAACACCCTGAGCATAATTCTTTTCCATCGAGTTTACAACAGTTTGGCTTTCATTGTTGCTTTTAATTTCATTGTGTTTGCTTAGCGTAATTCAAGCCTATAGAGTTTATTGAGCGAATCTCTCGTCTCTGTGGTTTGACCCCTATTATACTACAACTGCACATCTGTGCTCTTGCAGAGTAGCTTAGGGATTAAACTTTGAGCAGATCAATGTTTCAATTTTCTATCATAAATTTTAATTATTTTTTTAACATCTATTTTATTTATATAAAATTCAAATTACATAAATACATAAAATATAAAAATTACAATGCAGTACAACAACAGAAGTGAATGTGACAACTCTTTTCTTCATCAGATTTTGCTTGCAATTAGAATATCCACTCTTTCCTTCCTTCTAATCGCATTCATTGTGCGATTTTGAACTTTGGCTATTATCCATCTTTTACCCTGTTGTATTACATTGACCAATTCCCAATTAAGTGCTAAAGATGTTCTTCGAACAAGAACCCAATTTACTGATTCGTTCGATAGAAAAAGATATTGGGATTGCTAATTTTCAACGATACGAATGTCGCCATACAACAAGAAATGATTTGCTCCAAACCATTGTTTCCTCCATGACAGTTTTCATGATGTTTGTTTCCATAGAAATCTCATATCTAGCAAAATAAAATCTCTTAAAAAAAATATACCTTGAATCATCTCAAAGATTCTTCCGTTGGCGGAATTCTCTCATTATTTCCCAAAATATCAGTGATGCTTGGATCGTATACCCAAATGACATCTCCAAACCAAATGGTGGAGATGAGTAGGATATGAAGAATACCCAAACTGATGTCATCGTGCAATGAGAAGAAACTCACGCCGGAGATATCTGCGTTGTGGATAGTGGAAAAAAACTGCTCTACACCGCCATGTAAGAAAACCCCCGTTGAAGGGAGTTGGAGAATTGGGATTATTAATCCATAGAAAAACACCCAAAAAGTATGATATGGATGTATTACGATGAATAACGCCCTCATAAAAATGATGATTTCAATCATTAGAGAGAGATCAGAACCGCTGTTTTAGGATCGGTGACAAAATCCTCACCGTTGCGATCGTTCATCATTTTGATCAGTGACAAACACCTCTGTCTCAGAGAAGGAAGATACTTTTAACTGTCGGAGAAGAAGACACCAAAAATAGTTTAGGAAACCAAAGAGATCACCAGAGCCGGTAAAATTCCCTTCCAGAAAAGAAGAGTAAAATTCCCTTCCAGAGAAGAAGAAAAACTGTCGTTAACGAAAGGAGTTAAATCGTCTTTTCTATTGCCTTTTCTCTTATCTTTTTATTTTATTTTTTATAGTTAAATTTAAATTAAAAAAATAAAAAGGTTAAATTATTTATAAAAGTATTAAGGGGATAAAATTTAAATAAAAAAATAATAATTAGATTTATTTATCCTATATTTTTAATTGTTTCTATTATTTGTCCGGACGAAACAATTTATTTTGTTTTTAGCATCAACGCGATTTGCAAACCAAAATTTTCGATACGCATAAATCAACGGCTCTTTCACGTTTTAAATAATAAAAACCTCGTCATTTAGAAAAGTGCAGACCAAGACGCTGCAAGTTGATGAATAAAAAAAAACAAAACACCGTTCCACGCGTTTACACTTATCCATCGCCCGAGGCCACGATCCAATGCATCAGCGTCCACCTAAAATCTCTGTGCACAACGCAATATCCAACGTACCACATCCTCTCTCATCTCCATGTGTATACCTCATCGTAGCAGATCTTTCCATCAAATTTGTTAACTATATAATTCGAAACCCGTGAAGTCTCTTTTATCCATCTTCAATCTTCTTTATTTCCTTAAAAATCCCCAAATCTTCACGTTTCTTTCTCTTCTCAGTTCTCACGTATCACGTTACTTTTCAATCTGCATTTTCTCTCTCCATGGCTTCGGTTACATGTTATGCAGCTCCGGTCACGATCCGAGCATCTTCCGGATCCGGATCCACAAAAAACCCGGATTCAAACCGCAAGAAATCTGTTAATTGGTGGGCTCCTCTCTTCGGTTTATCCTCCAATCCCGATTACCTTAACATTGAAATCTCCTCCGTGAACCCGGAATCGAATCTGGGTAAAACCGATATCTCCGGGTCGGGTCAAGATTCCGGTCAGAAGCTCCGTCGCGGTTGTCTCACGGAGGAGAAAGCTAGGCAGTTGAGGAAGAAAATCGCAGAAGCTTCCACGTTCCACGAAGTTATGTATCATTCCGCGATTGCTTCTCGGCTTGCGTCTGATATCTCCTGCCGGGTCGAGGATGAATCAAGTTCGGGTTAGATCTGGAGATGAATCACAAATATGTAATTCGTCGAATCGAAAATGCGTTTCCCTTTCCTTTTTTTCTCCTTGTTCCTGTAGGGTGCAGACTATCTTCTATCGGTGCTCCTTTTTCATTAAAACCGTTGGATTGTGCATGGTCTTTTGTATTGTAAAGTCTCAGGAACCGTTGGATCGTTAATCAGTAAATTCTTTTTTTTTTTAACTTGTTAATTAGCTCTTCGATCTTTGTTAATTACAGGTCTATATACTCTGAATTAACCGAAATAACCCGAATTATCATAAAACCGAGCCAAGATATATCTTGGATTCAGTTTGGTACTAACATATTAAATTTTTAGCTACGAAATTTCAATCTCATATCTAAACTTTCAGAAACCGGAATTAACCGAACCAATCTGAATATCCGAATGCTCCTAAATCATAAATCCTAAAACTCTAAATCACCATAACGAATTAACGAGTATAACATTTCAACGTGAGGATCAAAACAAAGGACACTAATACAACGAGGCAATTCTTATTCAAACTAGATAAATACCCGCATATACACGCATGTCTTTTTTGTAATATATTTTTTAAATCTCACAACAAATTGGTGATCTTAATATTGTATAAAAATCTATTATTTCTATTGTACATATTTAAAAATAGAAAGTTTTTGTTTTAAATATTAAATTGTTCTAAAAATCTATAATTTAACACGAATACATTGATATATTTTAAACTATATGACGTTTTGCTCACTTCTCTCAACTCCTATAAAAACTTCTTAGCTCTCTCTTAACCACAGTGATATAGTTGTTATTTGTTTCACATTGTTAAAAATTATCGTTGCATTATTAAAATATTACTCTAAATCTACTTTGAAAACTCTTTTTGTATTTTGTATTTGTAATTTTCTTAAAAAACATAATTATACGATAACATTTGTCAATGAAATCACCAAAACACAATTCTAATCCAATCTTTCTAAACACTACACACACACTCAAATAGACTCTTTAAACGATAACATTTTACTACTCATTTCTTCATATTTTGTTCCACTTAGTTCCTACATGATTGGAGCCAAACTTTCAACAATCTTTCTTTTTTTTGAACATGGTAAAATATATTTACCTCTGTTTAGTAGGTTATAAGCATTTCTATGGAATGTATTAAAATGATTAGTAGATTTTTTTATTTTAACCATTAATTAGCTAAACAAACTGTCATACATATCCATAAACATTTACATAAATTTTATATTATAAGCAAATAAATAAACTTTTGGTAAATTATAATTAAAGGACTCTTAAGCTATACAATAACACTACTACTTATTGACCCAGCTAGTATATTCTACACATAATCACAATTAGACTTATAGAATATAGACCCCCATTGGCGGTCTCCTTGCAAAGGAACATTGTATAGTGGCTGCTTAGCCTTCACATGAATATTTTGATGTCTACTGAAATAAAGAAATCAAAAGCTTTTATAGGTCATCGCTGATTCTCTGTTGAGTTAGTAATTGATTTCGTATCTAATAGTCATTCTGATTTGCTTTGATTCCTTTTTTACTTACTTCCACAAACAGATATACATTTCTCAATTTTTCTCCTTTGCGGTGGTGATAGTCCATTCTTTCTCTGCGACGTCATCTATTCTGATTTCCCAACACTTGTTCTCCTTCCTCGTGTTTATGTGCTCTCTCTGTTTCTTTTTTTTTCTTTGTCATTAATCTCATCCTCTCTCTCCCTCTCCTACTCACGGCTTGTCCTCTCTTCTCTTTTCTTCCTCCTTTCACGACTCTTTCTCCTCTCTTTTTTTTTTCTTATTTCTCCTTTTCTCTCTCTTTACCTCTTATGACTGCTCCTATTTTTTTTTTTAGTTCAATAATTTAACTAAAATAACTTGTATATAAGGATATATACATTAGTTAATTTAAGGAAGATGAATCACACTTTTTAGGAGAATTATCTTAATAAATGTATGTTTATCACTGAATTCAATGATTTAAGTAATAAATTGATGTTTATTTACGAAAAGATTTTTAAAAATTATTAAATAATAAGAATCTAATAATTGTTTAGAAGATGATGTGTCAAAAAGATGAGTGCTTAGGTGTTAAATTTGTGAGACTCAACTGACTCTTTATATAATAGATTTATCAGCTCTTGCGGCCAAAAGTTTACCAATCTCTATCCATAATCAATTGGATTAACGAATAGGATAAATAAACGGCGTTACGATTTCGTAACAACACAAGTATCATATGCTGAGTTAAAGCACCTTGCAACATATTATATCAATATGCTTAATTGAGAATTGATTGCAACCAGTTTTGTCTCTCTGAAAGCAAGGCAGTGAAGCAATTTTTTTTTGATGCATTGGAAAAATGCGAAGAAATACTCAGGAAAACAACGGTTACTATCTACGGTTTACCATTATGTGTTGAGAATTTATTTTGTAGCCTTACGCAGTGATCTTCAAATGCGATAAAACACTCGTAAGAGAGAATTCAAATCTCTTTGCTGCACGAAAAAGATCTTCCACATCGGCTTGAGCAGTACCCTAGAGATGGATCATATAAAATCAAACTATTACAAAAGCTTTCCTTCTATAAACCCTCTTGGGATTATCACTCATGGACCAAACATTGACCACTCTTTTGCCTCATAATCGACATAAATTATCTTCATAATCAACATTAAGACTCCGTTGTACCGTTTAATAGTGTTTGTTTACCCTTACGAACATTGTTTTACTACATTCATTTTTTTAACAAAAGACATTGTTTTACATTTGAGCTATTAGTTCTACGCTTGAGAGTGTGTGTGTGTGTGTTAGCATTGTAAGTCATGTGTTTTGGTTTACGTAATGCATTGTGTGAATATTCATGTCAAATCGCTAACAATCTTCCGAAAAATGTAACGTGGTTGTGAATTCAAAAAGGTAAACTCCAAAACTAAGGAAACAAAATGCAAGTTTTGTGTGATTGGAAAAATATGTCAAGCCGAAAGTATGGGCTTTCTAATGCAATAATTGAAAAATATAGGACGTATAATACAAATTATGATATTTTCCTTCTTTTTTTCCAACAATACAAATTATGTTCTTCCGACTGAAATCCCTAAAACAGGTTACTATTACTGTTTTGTACAAATAAAGCATCCCATTCCTAAAATTTCCTCTGACCTTTTTTTTTTCCTTTCTAGTTCTCATTTTTTTGTCTGTAGAATTTTCGGTAAGCAGCATTTAACTGTAGCTGCAGATTTCTCTTTCAAGTGTAGATCGAACAAAGTTATTAGATTCGGGATCTTTCTCCCAATATATTTGTAGAAAATAGAATAAAAGTTAAGACTTTTGAATTTTTTAGCGTAATTCGTCTCGGAATCTACCTTGAATCGCTTGGATTAGAAAAAACCCTTTTCTTCAATCTGAAAGGATTTGAAATTCTGCTTAGGATTTTGGGTTCTTCTCTGGATTAGCGGCTAGGGTTTTCCATTGTTGTTTTGTTATAAATGGATAAGAAAAAGGTCGCATCTCCACTTATGTGCCATGGCCATTCAAGACCTGTCGTGGATTTGTTCTACAGCCCTATCACGCCAGATGGTTTCTTCCTCATCAGCGCCAGTAAAGGTAATAGTTTATATTATGTTTTATAAAAATTGGACTTTGTTGTTTACACCAGTAGTTGATTAGTATAAAGTGTGTCTCTTTACTTACAAGAACTGAGTACTACAGTGTTCTGTTTGGTGGGTTTTTAGCTTTTGTGGTACGAACTGAAAAAATCATTTCCACTGGATTATGTGGTGTTTAGATGCTTGAATTACTTATATTAGTTTGCACTTACTTATGAATCTTTAAGACTATTCATAGTGCTGACAGTTGTTGAGATTCAAAATCATGTCTTTATGCGTTTAGATTCGCATCCAATGTTGAGGAATGGGGAAACTGGAGATTGGATTGGTACATTCGAAGGGCATAAAGGTGCAGTGTGGAGTTCTTGCCTGGATAACCATGCATTACGTGCTGCATCTGCATCAGCGGATTTTTCAGCGTACGTTTTTGATTTCTTTAGGTTCCATTACTATGATGTTTTCTTACGTTCAACACATATATCTCTCTTGGCCGAGACCTTAATCAGCCGATTGTTTTATTTATTCGTTCAGGAAACTCTGGGATGCGTTAACAGGAGATGTGCTGCATTCTTTTGAGCACAAGCATATTGTTCGAGCATGTGCCTTCTCAGAGGTGCGTTCAAGTTACTAATAGGGTCAAGCCCTTTATATCTCTGTGGTTTGAATGATCTGTTGTGGGCAGGCTTTTTATGTAATAGCTCTTATCCTAACATTTACTCTACAAAATCTCGAGTTGATTGTTATGAGGATTTGGTTACGTCGGTGATACTGGAATTTTCTACTAAATTGGACTACTCTTAAAACATGTTTGTTTGTGGATGGTTCATCGTCGTTCATACTTATGCGATAGTCAGTAATTGATTGCAATGCGTCTAACCCTTTTCTCTCTCTCACTAGGATACAAAACTGTTGATCACGGGAGGATTTGAGAAGATTCTCCGTGTTTTCGACTTGAATCGGTTGGATGCACCTCCTACAGAAGTCGATAAATCTCCTGGTTCTATCAGAACTCTCACATGGCTTCACAGTGATCAAACGATATTAAGTTCTTGCACTGATATTGGCGGTGTAAGGTATGAACCCTATGAAATAACAAGCCACGGCTAAAGTTAAACACAAAATGTTGTATAGAAGAAGGTATAATTTGATAGACCTTTTGTTTTCTTTTTCCTTTTTATTCTAACTGTTATTTTATACAGGTTATGGGATGTGAGGAGTGGGAAAATCGTCCAGACATTAGAGACCAAGTCTCCTGTAACCAGTGCTGAAGTGAGCCAAGATGGTCGGTACATTACAACTGCTGATGGGTCAACAGTTAAATTCTGGGATGCAAACCAGTAAGTTTTTCATTTGCAGGAAGAGAATCTGATATTTTGAAATTACTTTATGTAATTTGCTCAATCTCTCTCTGTCGTTGTCTTTTATCTTTTTTTTAAGCTTTGGACTAGTGAAGAGTTACGACATGCCCTGCAATATCGAATCTGCGTCTCTGGAGCCAAAGTCTGGTGAAAAGTTTGTTGCTGGTGGAGAAGATATGTGGGTCCGAGTGTTTGATTTCTACACTGGCGAGGAGATTGGTGAGTGACCTCTCAAACAACATTTACGCCATCATATTCATAGAGTTAGTGTTAAAGAAGTAGGCTTTGATTCAATACGATCACAGATTGTCATGTAAATAGCTTCTTCTATATAATTTCAGCTTGAGTTTCTGATTGTGTAATCTTTTGTCTGAATTTAAGGATGCAACAAGGGACATCATGGTCCGGTACACTGCGTGAGGTTTTCTCCCACGGGAGAGTCTTACGCCTCAGGATCTGAAGACGGAACCATCAGAATCTGGCAAACAACGCCTGCAAATACTGAAGAGAACGAATCGGCTTCGAGGAGGGTGAAGCATAATGTGGACGAAGTTTCTAAGAAGATTGAAGGCTTTCACATCAACAAGGAAGGGAAAAACGCAGAGAAACCATCTGATGCTTAGCAAAAATGTCGTAGTTCTTGACTTGCTGTGTTTTGTTTCCAGACTGAATTATACAGAGAAAAGAAAAAAAGACATTCCCTTCTTCTGAATCAAAGCAAGTTTCTGGGGTCTTTTTTGTTATTATTTGAAATATTGGGACATGTTTTGCGATTTAGTATGTTGGGCTTGGGCTTTTATCGCTGTGGGAAGTGTAATTAGGGTTGGTGTAGAGGGGTAAAATCGTCAACTGGCGTTGCATTCATAGACCGCCTTTCTCGATCTCTATTTCTCTCTCTGGGAAACATCTAATCGACTCGAGAGCTCTTCTTCTCTTTTTTTATCTGGTGCGAAAGTGCGATCTCCTTTCTAACTCTCTCTCTCTCTGCGAGAATTTTACTGTGAGATTTCTGGCGGGAAAATGTCGGGGAAAGGAGCCAAGGGTTTGCTTATGGGGAAACCTAGCGGTAGCGACAAGGACAAGGACAAGAAGAAACCCATCACTCGTTCCTCTCGAGCTGGTCTACAGGTATTTCTCTCTCCCCTTTCTCTCTCTCGTTCTCCGTAAGTTTCTGTGTCTTTTGGAATCGAGCTGGTCTTGTTCGCCTGAACGATAAGTAGATCGCGTAAGTGGCGGATCGAAGAGATTCTGAGTTAGATTTTGGTATGAGATATGGAATAGGGACATTGGGATGCGAGATTTGCTATTAGGCTGTGTTATTTGCTGGAAATTGCTTCAATAAGCGTCTGTGGTTGATATTGACCAAAAGATCTTTTGATTTATCTTGTTCCCGTCGTGATAAGCCTTTCCTTATTCACCTCTTGTTAGTTTTCTTATAGAGATTTTTGCGATATATCTATTGTTGTAAGGGCTAGCAATGGAAGTTTGTGGTTTAGTCATTGTTATGCTGCTTGGGAGTGTGTTTGCTTGAGGTTTCCTCATTGTAAACACTCTTGCTTCAAAACCCAAAACTAAAAACAGTTTCTTTGTAATGATTGAGAGGACAATTGATTTCTGTGTTTCCATTGTTGTGGCTAATTTTTAGGGGTTATCTTTTTGTGCAGTTCCCTGTAGGTAGGGTGCATCGACTGTTGAAGACAAGGTCCACAGCTCATGGAAGAGTTGGAGCAACTGCAGCTGTTTACACAGCAGCCATATTGGAGTATCTGACTGCTGAAGTCTTGGAGCTGGCTGGTAACGCGAGCAAGGACCTGAAAGTGAAACGTATCTCGCCAAGGCACTTGCAGCTCGCGATTCGTGGTGATGAGGAGCTCGATACCCTCATCAAGGGGACTATAGCTGGTGGTGGTGTCATCCCTCACATCCACAAGTCTCTCATCAACAAATCCGCCAAGGAATAATAGAGTTTTTACCGCTTTGCTTCTCTGTTTTCTAAGTGTTTCTGTGAGAGTCTGTGTTTGATAAGACGCTAGAGAGCTCTTTTAGGGATTGTTTGTTATTGTTCTATCGGCCTGCTTGTGTTAGAGACCCGAGTCGATTCATCTTATCTTTAAGCATATGTATTTGATGATTGTCCAAAACCCATTTCTGACTACCATTCTAGTTTGGTCGTATTAAAGTAACCGATCATCGCCGGAGAAGCTTTAAAACAAATTCATGCGCAAGGATTTGTATTTTCTCTGAACAGGAATCGTATATACAACGAATACATCAGAAAAAACACAGATTGTGCTTGAGAAACTTGGGCAGAAAATATTCACTTGGCCTTGGTTGAATGCTAAGGCTATAATTTCTGCAGATTCTTTCATCAAACTTTTACTTTGAGATGCGTTTAGGAGTTTGGTAGTTTAGGTATCAATCTGCAGAACTGCTTACAAGAATGGAGGAAGTGTTAGCCGGTGAATCACACTGCTTGTAATGGACACTTAAGCCTTGGATCTTGATGAATAAACTGTCTGCATTTGTAAGCAGTCTTGGTTGTAACTCTTCTCTGTCTCTCCTGAAAGAGTTTTGTCTAAATTCACCGGAAAAGCTGCTTAAGATTTTGTAGTTTGATCTAGTGAAAGATTGACGATAAGCCTTCTTGTAACCCGAGAAACCAGATTTACATGTGAGGACCTGCAAAATCCATAAGAAAGAGTGAGCTCCAAACTACAAGTTATATCTCAACAGAGAAGCTAAGACAAGAAAGCGATATTACGGCTTCCTGGTCGATTTTGTTGTAAATGAGCTTTTCTAGCTCCACAACTTGTTCGATAAGCTACCACGACATGAGCTAAACCGAAAACCGCAGATGATAGTAACAAAACCGGCATCACCCATGAGATATTGAAGTCATAGACTTTTGCTTCCAGATGAGAACTCACAGTGAAAAACACAAGCTTTAACAAAAAGAAGAAGAATCCCTCCAAAGGAAAGTGACATCACTGTTTCAAGATAAGGACTATAACCCCATGGCTCAGGCTTCACAATTCTTGCCCTATTTGCCGCCGTGATCTGCCACCTATCAGCACTGTTAGAGATTCTCGGTGGATGCAGCTCGGGAACATTTGGCCTTTTAGGGCAAGGTACCAAAAGGGTTAGTCCAGAAGAAACAGCACACAGGAATCCTCGAGGTAACAGGAGCTGAAACTGAGTATTTCGGGAGATAAAACTGACAGTGGAGTCTCTATGATTCAAGAAATATACATAGTGACTATCTATTGTTAAGAACATATGTATAGACACGCTGTGAGAAATTTGTCTATGCATAAGTGCATATCTCAGAAATAAACTCCAGCTAACGTTTCATGCTATGGTTATCAATGCTATAACAATCTTTCAACCTATGCAATGAACATAGTGTCCTATATTTTATCTGCAATTCAAAGGATCACTACCAAATATTCAACTTTCAACTTCTCTGCAACATAAATCTACAATCGTCCTACATATGCAACGAACATTGTTTAATTCAAAGATCACTACCAAGTAGTGAATTTTCCGATACTCACTAACATAACACAAATCAATAAGTTACAGAATATATGAGTGAAGTCAGAAGAAAAAAGAGAATAGCTGATTTAAGTAAGCAATGAAAACATATATGGTGAACTCGTTTCAGGTAGACTAACGCAAAAGTCTTTAATTCGAACTCCAAACATCAATCTGCATACAGAACCAGACTGCAAATTTTCTATTTACAGTATCGATCGGCCTTCTTCTTGACACGATCGTCCAGAGCCTCTGCGACGGATTCGAAGTTTGATTTCGGAATGTAACCGAACTTCTTTGCCTCCACGGGAAATAGCTCATCGTACTTCTTCTTCTTCGCGGCGTCAATAGAGTAAATATCATCGTCTCCAACGGCGGCGGCGGCGGCGGAAGTCTCTGAACCGTCGGGAGCCATATTTTGGACCTCAAGCTTTTCCTTGTTCTTCTTGTGCTTCTTCTTCTTCTTTTCGATCGACTTCCTCGTGGCTAGATCGCCTCCTTTGAACGCTAACCTTCCCCCTTTAACCCTCTCGTAAGGATCCGACATAGCTTTTTTACTCTCGCTTAGATTCAGATTGTTACTCGGATCGATTAGGGTTTTCGAAACGCTAGTCCTCCAGCCAATTTCTTTGTCTCTGCTCCAGCTCAGCTTTACTATCCTTTTTCTCTTTTTTCTCTTTTTAAATCGTTTTCATTAAATAATTTGGAAACAAATCATGTCGTAATTTATCAAATCATGACTGTTATTTTTCCTCATTTTCTTTCTTTGCTATTAATAAGAAACATCTTTTTCCTTTTTCTCTGTTATATAAAAAAGACACGAAGAAAAGGTTTTCGCTGACAAAAGAAAGATTTTCATAAAACTAAAAAATATAATAATATATGTGTGGGTTTGTTCATATAGTTCTCTACCTTTTAAGCAATATATGTATTTGATGATTGTCCAAAACCCATTTTCTGACTACTTTTCTAGTTTGCTCGTATTAAATTAACAGATCATCGCCGGAGAAGCTTTAAAACAAATTCATTGGTAAGGATTTGTATTTTCTCTGAACAGAAATCGTATATACAATGAATACATAAGGAAAAGCAGAGATTGTGCTCAAGAAACTTGCGTAGAAACTTGTAGCAAATCTGGTTGAAGTTTTGTTCACGTTAACAACATACTGATGCCTGATTTACTCTGATGAATGAATCACGAAGAAAACTTTTTTCTTTCATCACTCTTTTCTTTGAGATAATTTTAGGAGTTTGGTAGTTTAGGTATCAGTCTGCAAATGAAGGAACCGAGGGCGTTAACAAGTGTTGTAGGACACTCCTCATGTGGCAAATGTCCGCATCCTGATATGGCTACAAATCTCTGTGAGGGTACACACACAAGTACATTAAAAACAAAATGGGTTAGAGAGAGTGGAAACTTAAGTTGTAGAAGTCTTGGAGAAGAGTAAATGAAACTTACAGAATTGGTGAGCTTAGAAGCAAGAGCTTGTGAAGATTTCAAAGGAACAAGAGCATCCTCAGCTCCGGCAACAACTAAGACTGGAAGATCTCCCATGGATTTCAACAGAGTTGACGCATTTTGAGGTGAAAGTATCATCTCATATGATAACTTGCTTATCTCATTGAATGCTTCATCCCAAGCTTCTAAACATAGAGGAGCCTGAAAATAATTACAACAAGAAAAGGGCTTATAGTAAAAGTAACAACTTTGGTCTCTGTGACATTATGTGTTTATGTATAATGATTAACCTTGTAGAGCATTATGACATCAGTGGTTAGCTTGGTGGTGTCACACCATGCACGCCGGTTTACCAATTGAGTTATTTCGGTTCGCAACAAAGGACGCACCAAGTGCTTCTTCCTGAGTGATGTATGAAGAAGTATCCTTGCAAAGCCAGGAACTACTTCTCTTGATAAGCTAACGTTTATCAAAACCACCCCTTTGATTGTAATCTGTGGCAAAAATTAAGGGTATATATATTGTTAGTGGCAAAGTGAAACATAAGTCATAAGCTTATCAAGGAACTGATTCTTACACTGCATTTGAAGGTAGAGGCTTGTGCTCTTTCTGCTGCCTTGAGAGCAAGCAAGCCACCATCGTCGTGGCCAACGAGTACCACCGACGAAAAACCCATCTCGGTACAAAAAGAAAGTAGTAGATCGACCTGTGAAGCGATTATGTCAAAACAAAGAGATAGAAGAGCTTTCACAAAGGAAATGTCTCAAATGACCTACCTGGCTTTCGAGCTTGTAAGGGTTAGCTAGATTCCTCTCTTCCCAATCTTGCCGGATAAGTCTAGAGGTCAGTCCCCAACCAGGCCGGTCATATGCAACGACTCTGCAACTGAGCTGAAGAGACAATTCTCCCATTACATGTCTCCAAGAGAAGACTCCTCCTCCAAATCCATGGACTAGAACTATACCAACATCTCCATTCCTCTCCAAATCTTCCCCAAGATTCATAGAATCCGTTTGATTCATATCATCCTTGTTGAACAAGCTAATGGGAGTAGTTGGATAATTCGCTAACAGAGGATCATATAAAGAGGATCTATCGGGCTGAATGGTGTAGCTTCGATGCAACTGATTGCTTTGAGTTTGAGAGATTAAGTTTGACATCTGCTTGTCTAGTAGTCTCAGCCTTCTGGCATTCACATCAACTGCAGAGCTGCTTACAAGAATGGAGGAAGTATTAGCCGGTGAATCACACTGTTTGTAATGCACACTTAAGCCTTGGATCTTGATGAATAAACTGTCTGCATTTGCAAGAAGTCTTGGTTGTAACTCTTCTCTGTCTCCCCTGAAAGAGTTTTGTCTAAATTCACCGGAATAGCTTAAGATTTTGTAGTTTGATCTAGTGAATGATTGACGATAAGCCTTCTTGTAACCCGAGAAACCAGATTTACATGTGAGAACCTGCAAAAACCATAAGAAAGAGTGAGCTCCAAACTACAAGTTATATCTCAACAGAGAAGCTAGCAAGTGAAAACAAGAAAGATATATTACAGCTTCTTGGTCAATTTTGTGGTACATGAGCTTCCTTCTAGCTCCACAACTTGTTTGATAAGCTACCACGACATGAGCTAAACCGAAAACCGCTGATGATAGTAACAAAACCGGCATCACCCATGAGATATTGAAGTAATAGACCTTTGCTTCCAGATGAGAACTCACAGTGAAAACACAAGCTTTAACAAAAAGAAGAAGAATCCCTCCAAAGGAAAGTGACATCACTGTTTCAAGATAAAGACCATAAGCTAATCTTGTGTCTTCACAAAGCCAAGAGAGACCTGTTTCACCATCGTCAATGGAAGCTTATTGAATCAGAACCAATATCAAGTATGATTCGGAAGTGAGAAAGAAAGAGAAAGGAGGATGTGTCCGTACAGATAATGGCGAGAGATCTGAGTAGAGTGACGAGTGGTACATCAATGAAAGAGCTCTTGAAACTATACTGATGAAGATGCTCTGCGGCGGAGTGGCACGTGAGGCACGTGACGCCGGAGACGATAGGCAAGGAACCACCACATCAGCCACCGTGATCAGAACAGGCAACGAAGAAGCTAATAGAGACGCCGTCATTGCTGCCACAAAGAACATCGTCCTTAAACATCTCCGTGCTTTCTCCGCCACAATCCACGACTTCCACGAAGCCATTTTCTCCGCCTTTTTTTCAACCAAATTTGACGGTGGCTACTGGTGAACTAGAGGTCCGAAATTTCTTGGTAATTCAAGAAAACTTGGAGCAAATAATCAAACCAGAAAATCTATGATTATCTTTTACCCTTGAATCAAGAAACGATGTATCTCAGTCATGACAGACACGGCGGAGAAGTGGCGAGCATTTGACGGAGATGGTTGATAATATCGTCGGAAAATTAAAGGAATGGTTAGTCTCCTTTTTGTTTTTGCTTTTATAAACGGATCAATTTTGAAATTCAGACAAAACGTTTTAGCTTTTAGGGAATTATGTAACTCGTAACAGTTGATTTATTTCTTGATTTTTATAAGAAAACAATGCACTTTTTTTTTCAAATTTTGGTACAGAAAGATTTGTTGAATAATAGAATGAGTTGTAAGATAAAGTAAATTTAAGAGTGGGAAAAATATATTTAATGATTAATGGACCAAAAGACAGCAAAGACAAGAAATGATAAGTGTGTTGGAGGAAGAGTAACACATAGAAGGCATGTGAATGTTAGCTTCACTCTAATATTCTTCCAGCCAATATCTTCTGTCTTTGTTCCAGCTCAGCTTAGTATCCTTTTTTCTTTCTTTCTCTTTTTAAATCGTTTTCATTGAATAATTTGGAAACAAATCATGTCGTAATTTATCAAATCATGACTGTTATTTTCCTTATTGTATCTGCTATAAATAAAAAATATCTTTTTCGCTGACAAATGAAAGATTTTCTTTTTTTTAATGAATATTAAATTTATTCAGAAAAAAATAGCGTTTCTACATTGTTTCATGCGAGTTTTAAGTATAAGACAATTTTAAATTCGAAAAAATAGTCTATCTTCCTAACTTCAAATTGATGGTCTTGTGGAGAACCATAGCTGCAGACCATCATCATATCGATGATCTCCCAGGTTGCGGATGGAACTGAATCTATTCCAAATGCTCTTGTCGATGACTACTATCAAACGAGCGGCTGATGTTAGTATGCCTCCGTGTCGTCGATCGTTTTGTTCCCTCCAGAGTGTATAGAGGACAGTTTGGAATAGGTACCTGATGAGGAACCACTTCACGCTTTGCTGATGAGATTCAGAGATAAGGTTGATAATGGTAGACCAATCCGCAGTGAAATTCCGGAGAAGGATTCCCTTTGCTAAATTAGTCCACACTTTTATCGAAAACCTACAGGAGAAAAACAGATGCTCGCGGGTTTCCATGGGATCGTTGCAGAAGATGCAGGCTGACGATATGTTCGCATTCCAAGCTTGCATACGCACATCCATAGCAAGACGATTATGCATAGCCAACCAAGCAATGAAGCTATACTTCGGAGAGTTATGTTTAAACCAGAGACTTTTTGCCCACCGCACAATTGGTGATTTATGCCTCAGCTGTTCCACCGTTGAGCTCGTCCGGAAGCTACTTTTATAACCTGTAGCGCCTGTCCTCCAACTGAGATCATCGTCCTTTCCCACCAGATATCTCCTCCGAACAAAGTCGATTTCGTCTTCTACCATATTCAGAATAGCGAGCCGGTGCCTGCGTCTGCGGTGGTTGAGAATGACATCCTCCACGGTAGACTCTTTGGGTATTCCCATGTCAACGAATCCTCTCACACCAATTTGAGGAAGCAGAGTACCCATTTGAGCCCAGTTTCCAGCCAAAACAGAGTATCTCTTCCATTACCGATATCAGTTTTGAGAAATGTTGCAGCTTGTTGGCGACTTTTCATCAGCTGCTTCTACATCCAGGATCCCGAAATATTGGTCAGAGCATCAGGCATTAACCAAATCGAGGAATTTCGAATCAGGTTAGTTTTTGACCATCACACCCACAAAGAGATCTTTGCAGTAAGAACCCGCCACAGAAACTTAAGCACACAGACTTCGTTGGCGACCTGTAAACTCTTCAAACCAAGTGCCCCCCTCAGACTTGGGTTTTCAGACATCCGACCACACCACTTTTGATCTCTTACGGTTTAGATCGGATCCAGACCAGAGGAAAGCAGAGCAGATACTCTCAATCTCTTCAATACATCGATTCGGCAACCGAAATGCTGACATCCAAAAATTGGTGAGACTAGCTATAACCGATGAGATCAGCTGTAACCTCCCTGCAAACGACAAGGTTCTAGCTGTCCAAGAGTTAACCTTTCCCCTGATCTTCTCTATCAGCGGGATATAATCCAGTGATCTCATTTTCTTTGTCAGCAATGGTAACCCTAAATAGCGAACCGGGAGGGTGCCAAATTCGAAAGGAAAGCGCTGAGAAATAGAATCCTTTGCAGCCGTAGAAACACCTGCTAAGAATGCCGTTGATTTCTCGATACTGATTCGCAATCCAGACATGCTCGAGAAAGCGTCGAAAGTACTCATTATTCCCTCCATAGATCACAGCGTTCCATCAGAGAATAGGAGAATATCATCCGCAAAACAGAGATGCGTCAACTGCATATTTGAACACTTTGGGTGGAACCCAAACCTTCCTTGAATCGCCTCCTTATCAAGCATTTTTGAGAGGACATTCATGCATATAACAAACAAGTATGGGGAGAGAGAACATCCTTGTCGAAACCCCCGCGCACTTCCGAAATAACCAGCTAATTTACCATTTACTTGAGCCGAAAAAGACGTCGTAGAGATACAGAGACGTATCCAATGAATGAATTCACGCAGCATGTGTAGTGCCTCCAGAATCCGCAGCAAAAACTCCCAATTAACTGTATCAAAGGCCTTTGAAATGTAGATTTTCAAGGCACATTGAGACGATATCGAATCTTTATGATAGTCATCCACTAATTCTGAAGCTAGAAGAAGATTCTCAAGAAGAAATCGATCATGAACAAAAGCTGATTGATTTGCCGCAATAAAATTGGGGAGAAGCTTCTTCAGCGATTAATAATGATTTTAGAAATCATCTTATAAATCAAATTACAGCATGCAATTGGTCGATAATCTCTCATACAATTAGCCCCCTCTTTCTTCGGAATTAACGCTAAGATCGTAGAGTTAATTACTTTAGGAAGGAACCCTTTGACGAAAAAAGATTGGATGCTCACCACTAGATCTTTGCCAATAATCGGCCAACTTTCCTTGAAGAATTCGACTGTATATCCATCTGTCCCGGAGATTTATTTGCTGGCATTGAAAAAATCACATCCTTAATCTCCTGTTCTGTAACTTCCCGCACAAGACTGTCCTGTTCAACAGAGGAACATCGATACCCAATAAGCTCTTCCAGTTCGGCAACAGTGGTGTCTCGCAGATCATCAGGCGTATGGTTTAAGAAAGTACGAAAGTGATTCACAGCCTCTTCCTTTATTAAATCATCTCCACTTATAACAGTTCCATCTGAAGTTTGCAACTCTCGTATACCGTTTCGAGCAGCTCTGACTTTAACAGCTCGATGAAAAGCCTTGGTATTCCTGTCCCCTACGTTCAACCAGTGCAGTTTTGATCTATGCCACAAAAACTGCTCTTCAATGTGAGCTGCTCGATCCCACCTCTCAAAAGCTTCACGCTCCTCTCCCTGAGCTTCATCACTTGGGTTTTGCAAAACCTGCTCTTGTTTAGCACATAGAAGATCATATTTAACCAAAACTCTCCTTGAGATATCACTCAGCTCATCTTGCGATATTGATCGAACAACTGGTTTCAGGTATTTCAATTTCTTGAAAAATCTAAATAATGCAGACGTGGAATGAAATAAAGGAGTAGTTTCATCCCAGTATCCCTTGAGAGCCTCCTTGAACCGTGGCAAGCCAGCAATCGCATAAGTGAACTTAAACGGTCGCCTCTTGCCTGGATTTTCACCACTTACAGAGAACCTGCATCTTAGATGATCCGAGCAACCTCCCGCCTCGAAAACAAAATAAGAGTTCGAATAATGATTAAGCCAATTGTTATTAATCAAAAATCTGTCCAGCTTCCTGCAAACTAACCCCTATGTTCTCTTGTTGCACCACGTGTGAAGCGGCCCATGAGAAGTGATATCGCACAAAACACCATCACGTATGAGCTCTTGAAGATCACGCATACCATTTATTGTAGCCGTAGTGACATTTGGGCCAAAATGTTCCTCTACAGCTGCAATCTCATTGAAATCACCCAAACCATCCACTTAAGCTGCCTGTATATTGGGGACTCAAAGTGTCTTCTAAGGTCACTCCAAGCTTCCCTTCTTCCCTCCGAAATTTGACCTATATAGAAAAGAGCATAAGAACTCTTCCGCAGACTCTGGAAGCTTCATAAGGACAATCAACTGATTACTTTTAAAAACCGGGGTCAATCTAACTGAGTCGTGCCAGACAACCCATATCCTTCCAAGTCGATTATGCTTGTAGTTGTGCATAAAAGACCATCCCGGGAAAACCTTCGACACAATTTCGTTCGCCTTTGTTTCCTTCACTCTAGTTTCTAATAAACCACCAAATTGAAACTCATTTTTCTGACACCACCCTCTCACTATCTCATGCTTTTTCTTTTTATTAAACCCTCTAATGTTCCAGAAAAATCCAGACATTAAAATTGGGATTTTTTTTCTTGTTTCTAGCTTTCTTCTTGCCCGTACCCTTGTTGGATGAACTAGGAGACGAGTTTGAAGTGGCGTGTAAGTATTTGTGCGTGGACTTTGATTGTCGTGGTAGAGAGATTCTTCCACCTTGCACATTTGTCTGACTCTCTTGCCACTGACTCTGCCTCTGCTCAGGCTCTCCGTCAGACGCACTAAAATCCGCAGCCTCACCTCCCTTCATTGTCTCATCGATAATAACGTTATCCTTATCTATAGTTTCCGAAATTATTTCGAACCGGGATGGTGAAATAATTACATTATTCGTATCAACTCCTCTTTCGATCACCCTGTTTTGTGGCTTTGCTGGGGATTTAGCAACTACCCACTCTTCCATTGCACCAACTTCACCAGTTTCCTTATTTCCAATACTACTCTTGGTTCCAGTAACTCCAGTAGTCTCTTGCACCACCTGTTTCCCAGTGATTTTTGGGCTCCCTGCTTCCACTCTAGGACTGGTAACGGAGTTCACAGGAATAGATTCCCCATCCGCTTTTGCCTTCCCTTGCACTGGCTCAATCGCAGGCTGTTCCACTAGCTCATTTGCCTTTGCAGGCAAGCTTTTACCCCTTGACAGAATAATCTTATCACCCGGAATTGCCCGGCAATCCTTCGTAGCATGTCCCCACTTCGCACATGAGGCACACCTAGGTGGGAGCTCGAACTCGTTAAAAACGACAGCGTCAAACCCGTACTAGCCTTGAAGCTAAACGACTCTGGGAGCTTCTTCTCAAGATTTACTTCAACAAAAATCCTTTGCCTCTTCAAAATTCTTCGCCCATAAAGTGTCGGGGTGCAACTTCTTTGGGTCTCCTAAAGGACTTGTAAGAAAACTTAACCCCTTTCAAGAAAACATAGATCGAGGAACATTCCACACAGTGACCGACATAGGGATGATCTTAACCTCCGATTGTGCTTCTTCCACCACCAGACTCCACTTAGACATAATCATTGGAATATTTTTGATACTCCACATCCCTCTCCTTAACACTCGCGCACGGATTGCAGCGTTTGGGATTTTGAATTTTATTGTTGTTTCGTCTACAAAAAACATATCAATCTTGGATGACTTGTCTCCCAAGTTCCATATTTTATTCACTGTCATGTGAATAAGCCCGATATGTGGCGCTTTGGAAGCAAACTTCCCCACGACACAATCTTCCCACAACGGTGGGGCGTTCTCAAAAACCGAGTCTGTGACGTTAATCGTTTCCACACCATTGATTTCTTCGACTACAACATCGTACTTCTGCATACCCACCTTTGGTGCAACCACCGATGACCAGGTTTTCACCTTGTCAGCTTTCCCCAACACGTCAACCCCATCCAACTCCTTTGGATCCGAAACCGCCTTACTTGGAGACGAGAAAACCGCCGTATCACACTCCACCGATCCCACCTGAAGCTGCATCTGCATCTCCAAAACCTCTTGCGAATCTGGTACCACCTCCTGTTGCAAAACCTGAACTGCATCGGCCTCCACTGGACCCGTCTCGGCCTCCTTCGGCGAGGAAACACCTTTTTCCGGTGCTGACATGATGGCCAAAGCCGTAGCGAAAGCTAGACCTCGGCAAAACCCTAACTCCTCTTTGTCGCACTTGAAATCGCCCTCCTCTGCTGACGTAACTCTTAACTTGGATCTGACTATTATAACCAACTTAAACCTCGACAAATGAAAGGTTTTCGCTGACAAAAGAAAGGTTTCATAAAAATAAAACATATACTAATATATGTGTGGGTTTCTTGATTTGTTCATATAGGTTTTTTTTCCTGCTAAAAGGGTTTGTTCATATAGTTGAGATGTACTAATAATAATCATAAAGCCTAATAATCATAAAGCCTAATAATCATAAAGCCATCTATCTGGCAGAACAAATCAAGATGTTGTCTATGACTAGATGATTACGGGATTTTTAAATCAAAAAAGTAATCGAAAAAAATTCTTTTAAAACGTATAATAATAGAAAAGAAGTCAAGAATTAATAATTGTGTTCCCATGCATGTTACTGCAAAAACAAAGGAATAAAATGGTACACCGATTTATGTACGTTTTCAAATAACACATGTCAATAAA